ATAATAGTAGTATTTAAAATTCTTAAATAATAATTCTCTATGAAATAGGTATTTATATACTGGAATTATTGACTTGACAAATGTTCCTAGTTCTGATATTCTTGAACTTCTTGCAGCATCTGATGAACTGATTCTTGAAGAATTATCCAAACATGTTTAAAACTACCCTATTGAAAAGGGAGAAGTTTGGCTTAACCAAAATCTTGTTTATTGTGTCAAAACTTGCAAGCTGTAAACACTTCAAGATCATTGCTATGAATCCATCTGTGCAGATCCTGAACCATTCTTTACCTCCGAAAATTTTCCCACCCTTGATAAAGATAGTCTTTTAGAATTAATTAAGCGTGATGATCTTGAAATTGAGGAAATAGATCTCTTATTAAATGGGGGGGGGGGGGGATTTCTCAAATTCCCACAATTATACAAAATGATGCTAAGAAATTTACAGATGCAAATTTCAAGAATTTGAAGGAAACTTTAGATCCCTTTATTTCACATATTAGATTCTATGAGATTTCATCAAAAGATTTCTTTAATAAAGTCCGCCCATAAAGAAAAATTTTACCATCAGCATTATATGACGATTTAATGTCTTTCTTAATGGCCGAGACTGAACCACAACATAAGAGATTGCCTGCAAGATTATTATATGTAAACCTTTCTAAATCAAAAATCATTAGAAGACAACATGCAACTATTCTTTCTAATTGGATTCTTTGTAAGAATACAAGTTCAAAAATTTCAAAGGGAACTAAATATAAATATAAATTTCAACTTCTTTATCGTGCAAGTCGTGATGAGTATGATATCAATAGATTTTATTCAAAAGTTAATGGACAAGGTCAAGCTATCGCAATAATTAAAATTCAAAATTCCGAAAAAATCATTGGTGGATCTGGTTGGAATTATAAATATAGAAAAGTTATGATGATGATAATAAATATTCGGATAATAATCAAAATCATTTTATATTTTCATTTGGAGAAAATTATGAGAAAAAAAATAAGTAAATTCGTTTCTGGCTATGGCTTATGTTATGGTCAGGAACGTATGCTAGAATTTGGAAATGGTGATTTGATATTTAATGGCAGAAATAGTTCATGTTACCAACGTTCTTATGATAAGTCTATACTGGATGTGAATAGTTTTTTCGCTGAAGAAATGGAGGTATTTAAGGGAACTAAACATAAGGTGGCAATTACATAAAAAAAATTATATCTATGTAATTTTTTCGGTGCATATAAATAAGGAGTATATAGGGACGCCCGTAGCATGGGTCAGATATGTGATTTTGCGAAAGAATAGTGAACTCCTGATCATTTGAAATCTCAAAATCCCTTTTGCTACAGGCGTCCCCGATATAAAGTGAAGAATTTCATATTTAATTAATATAATTTTCGGCAATTTCTTTAAGTATCATTTATTGGTTTCAGATGTTTTCACGTTGTTTACAATTTTTATTTAAAATTTTTTTTAAAATATTCAAATTTTACGGAGTGTAATGCCATTTTTTTTATATTAATAAATAAAAAGAAAAAAATATATCAAATTTTTAGTTTAATTGTTTGCTATTATTAAGTTGCAGTAATTATTAAATTAATCCAATATAAAAGACGCTGAAATGTATCATTGAGATAACGTCAGAAGAAATATGCTAGCAAACATATTTATTATTCATTAATTACATTATTTTCAAACATATAAATACAGTCGACCCTCTATAGTTATCCCTGTACAACACATCATATAAATCCCCTGTTATAAGCACACCTTTCGTAAAGATAATACCTATTAATGCTATGTAAAAAAAAAATTCTATAATCACAGGATTTTTATAGTGACACCCTTTGGAACTAATACTTATTAATATTATATAGGATCTCTCTAAATAGTCACTTTTCATTACAATCATACCTTTTATTTTTGGTGTGCTGTAGAGGGGGTTCGACTGTATATAAAAATATTAGCATTCTTTAATCATTTAATAATGGAATTTTCTTTATCAGTATCTCAAAGTGAGATGAAATCTTCCTAGCATTTCTTTTGTGGAACTAATAAGTAAACATTATAATGATTTGATGAATGTATAATGTGAAGTTCCATTCGCATATTATATTACATAATCAGTTACATTGTATTCAAGATTCTATCCAGGCTTATCTCAAAATTTTTCTGAACTTCTTGAAGACGCCGATGATTATAATGCTACAATTAAAGTTTGTGAAAATCAAAATACACAAGAGTTTCGTGCACATTCAACAATTTTGAGAGCGCGTTCCCCTTATTTCAAAAGTGCTCTCTCAAATCAATGGGCTAACGATAAAAAAAATGGGATGATTTTATTTACAAAACCAAATATTTCTCCTCCTGTGTTTGCTTTGATAATCAGGTAAAAATGTTCAAAACTACCTTATCAAAAAAAAAACAGTCTGGATTAATGAAAATCTTGTTAATGTTTTGCTTATTGTGTCAAGGCTTGCAAGCTGTAAACAACTTCAAGATCATTGCTATGAATCTATCTGTATAGATCCCGAACCTTTCTTTACCTCTGAGGATTTTCTGGATCTCGATAAAGATATCTTTTTAGGGTTAATAAGCGCGATGATCTTGGAATTAAGGAAATTGATCTCTTATTTTATGGGGAATTTCTCAAACTCCAAGAATTAAACAAAATGATGTTAATAAATTTACAGATGTAACTTTTAGAAATTTGAAGAAAACTTTGGATCCTTTTATTTCACACATTAGGTTCTATGAGATTTCATCGAAAGATTTTCTATAATAAAGTTCGTCCGTACAAAAAAATTTTACCGCTGACATTGTATGAAGATATAATGTCTTTCTTAATGGCTAAGAGCAAACCACGAGATTTAATATTTTCAAAATCTCTGTTTAAATTTTTTTTTTTTATAAAGTCACTTTTATCCAATCACGATCGTTTTTTTGATCAAGATCCCCGATTGTGATTGATTTACAACTTATTCTTTTTTCTAAGCTCAATATGGTTATTTGCTTTTTGTTTTTGTTATATAGTTTAGTTTTGATTTACTTTCGGTTAGTTCCAAAAGGTCTAACAATATTTGTGTAACAGATTGTCCCATTCTTTAAATGTAAATATGAAAATGACATGATTTTTATCAATTGATTATAATAATCACTTACTTTACAATAGAACAGATTATCTTGTGATTGTTATACATTAAAAGGTTGATTTCTTAAATGAGATAAAAAAATCTTAATGATGATAATGTTTTAGGTATGAAGAAAATTGTGATTCGTTTAACAATGCTATACATTGTAATTTTTCCCTCTGTAAAAAATAAGTCAAAGTTATTCGTATTGTTCTCTTTATCATAAAAGGTGTACCTTGTTTTTTTTTTTTTGTTTTCAGCAGGGTCAGTTCCTGCAGGGATCTTTACTATGTTTCATTATCATAATTTGAAATTATTTTAAAATCAATTAAATCAATTGCAAATTTATGTTCACATTTCATATATTGCAGGTGTTATATTTATTATATTCATTTAAAAAATAAAAATAACAAAAAAAGTCATTGCATCAATATATGTTTTTGGAATTAAATGATTCTATAAATTAGTACAATCCAATAAGAAATATAATAACTTAATAATAAGAAGAAATCCGTGCCGAAATAATGGTCATTACACAAATCAATTTACAGTGAAACATTTTTATATAAATTTTTTTTTTTATTATTGTTGAACTTTTTTTAGTTTTATAATATCGTGTGTGAAACAGTCAATATAAAAAAAATGAAACAAAATGAAGAATGCTAAATTTTAAATTTTTTTTTTTTTGATTTTTTAATACTAGTTTTTTAAATCTAAAACATTTTATTTTACTAGGTTTTATTTCTAAATTTCTATTGGTTTAAATTTCAAAATTCGTTATCAGTTTTAGGAACTGATATTTCCAAATAATATAATCTATTGGTATTAACTTAGGTATTCAATAATAACTAGTATTCAATTACCAGAAAGAAAGCGGATATTGAATGAATTAATAAATGAATGAATGAATGTTATGAATGTGAACGAGTGATTAGAGAGAGTAACATAAAAGGAGGATGATATCAGAAAGTTTTATAAAAGAATCAATAGATAATGCGAAGACATAATGTTAAAAAGTGAATATAAAGTCGCAAATGATCAAAGAAACAAAATGATACAAATGAAAAAGGGTAAGACTTGTATGAAAAAAAAAATTTGTACAATGAAATTTACTCAAAGAACAGCATCACTCACTAAAGCTAGAGTTAAAGCTAAATTTTGTGATTTGTAACTTTGAAAAAAAAGATAACTATAAAAATATAAAAAAAAATTATAAAAAAAATTTTTAATAAAATATACAAGAAAGTGAAATTATATATGAAATGTTTTAATTATGAAATGTGTTGTCAAAAAAAAAACGAAAGAGATAAAGGACCATTCATGTTATTCAAGATGATTAGAGAAAATATTTAAAAATTAAATTCTAAAAAATGTATGAGCTTAAAACATTAAAATATATGACGTGAAGAAAAGAAAAAATATTAGGATAACAGAAATTATATGGTACTAAAAAAAAAAATGAAGGGAACTAAATACTTTTTAATACTTTTTTTTCTATGTATTTCATTAAAAGATGAAAGGTGATTCTAATAAGTAATATGTTTTTAAGGTGTTATATATATATATATATTTTTTTTTTTTCTTTTGTCGCAGACGGGCAGTCCAGCTGGTCCCTTTATATCAAGGGAATGTGTTAGGAAAGTAAAATGTAAAGAAATATAATGAATTTTATAGATAATATAAAGAATTTTGTAGTATAAATCTAGTAAATCTATTAAATCTAGTAAATGTATTAGAAAAGTAATGAAAGTAGCGAAAGTAATGGGAAAGTAGTGAAAGTAATGGGAAAGTAGTGAAAGTAATGGGAAAGTAGTGAAAGAGATAATAAAAAAAAGAAAGTAAAATATTTTAAAAAATCGAAATAATCGATCACGAATATTGAAATCGGACACCTCCCACTAACATTTCATCATAACTTTCCATTTGTATTTCATGAGGATCAAACTTTTCAATTCTAACTTCGGTCCAACCTTCGTCAGAGAATTTTTCAAGATTAGGAAAACTTGTATATTCCATTGAAGAATAATTATCCGTTGGTGGTAGATATATTGATGAATTTGAAGAAGTAGGACTAGTGGGAGTTAACAATTCATTATCAGTGGAAGATTTACATGAACCAGGAGTTGAAAGACCACCGTCACTATTATCATTAAATTGTGATATTGTAAGAGAATTAATTGAACGAATAAACATTGAACCGGATGATAAAGACGAAGAAGAAGAAGAAACACCGGAACGACGTCGTTTATGAATTGGAATGTATGAAAAAGTGGGCTGACGATGAAGCATTGAAGTTGTTGACTCGGGTGACATTGATAATGAGGAAGAGGAATAAGAAGAAGGTGAGTAAAGTAAATAAGTGTTATCGATATTACTCGAATTACTATTTAAATTAATATTTGAGTTACTACTACTCGTATCGCTATTTGTATTTTTGCTGTTCGAAATATTATTGTTATTATTGTTATTCGTATTATTTGTATTAAGAGAATCAGTTTTCGAAAAAAATTGAAACATTTTTTAAAAAAAAAATAAAAGAAAATGGTTTCTTTAAATATATTCTCTTTGATTGATTGATTGATTGATTGATTGATTGATTGATTGATTTTATTACTTCTTTATTATTAACAAAAAAAAAAGTTATAAATATAATTATATAATTGGAAATAAATTTATTTAAAGGTAAAAAAGTTATTGTAGTTGAATACTATATTTAGTGGTGTTGAAGTTTAGTAACTAGCAGCGAAAGAGAAAATGGATCTTAAAAAAGAACGTTCAGTTGCGAGTTAAAAAAAAAAAAAAGTCAGGTTATAAAATTTTAAAATTTTATAAATTCCCAATAGTCAAAAACGATAAATATAGTAAAAAATAGGTAAAAAATAGTAAAAAATAAAGGCAAAAATTATTATTTATTATATAGAAAATGAAAAGTAAAACCAAAATATCAAAAAAAACAATAACCGCATAAATAAGGGATTAGAAAAACCCTCGGTAATTTATATAAAAATTTTTTTTATAGTTAATAATTAATGATAGTTAAAATGACGGTTAATGGTAGTGCAATATATAATTTTGTATAATTTGTATAATAATGAATTTTTGTGGCTTGCTAAACTTGCTTCTTTGTTATTTTTTTTTGAAAAAAAAAAGGGGAATAATAACTGGGTAAAAATTATCAAAGGGGAGAGTTGAATAATTCAGCATCTTTATATAATGAGCGATACATAAGTGATTTATTCTAAGATGTTCTTTTAATAAATTATTATTATTAATATTATCAAAATAATCATTATTAATTATTTTATATTGTTTATATATTTCATATTATTTCATGATATTTTTATGTATTGTAAACGTTTCTTGATATTATATTCAAACATTATTTATATTATAAACATTCTTTAACATTCTTTAACTCATTATATGATATGCAGTGTAAACGATACAGGGAAATTTGGATGTATAAATTAGTGGCTGACACAGATGAAAAGCATTATCAAAATATACAGTTTAAGGGAATGAAATTCTAAGTGGTTGAGGCTAGAATAAAACAAGTTTTATTTATATAAATGCTATTTATATTTTTACTGGTACAAACCATATTGAACTATTATAAAAAGTATTATAAAATATAATTATAAAAATATATTTTGTGTAATTGTGTAATGTTGTGGTTGAAGCGCTTTCTACAATAAAAAAAAAAAAAAAAGCAACTTTTTCGGCTTAATACCGTTAACTGTAACAATAATTTTTTTTTAAATAAGGAGAACTATGGTTTTCTTAAACCTATCATAATAACTTTTTTTTTTTTTACTTTATGTTTTATTTATGTTTTATTTATGTTTACATTTACTTATATGCATATTACGATGTTATACCCATGTCACTATACCATACTTGTGTTAGATGTTGTTGCCTGTGTCCCTCATGTTATACATGTTATATCATGTTATGTCTGATATACATATATTGCACAACTGTAAAACCTTTTTTTAATTAAACGGTAAATTACAATCGAATGAAATATGGTTAAGTTGATAATCAAAAGTTTTATTTTTATTTATTTATCTCTCTCTCGTTTATTATTAATAATAATATTTAAATAATTTTTAAATGTGAATAATTTTTATTTTTATTTTTTTTTTATATGAATCAAGTTTTCCCTAAATTTGATTTAATACTGTCTGCATTTTTTATAATTTAGAGTTAAAAGAAAGTATAAAAATTTAAAGTATAGAAATTATATAGAAAGTATTAAAAGTATGCAGAAGATCAAAATGGATGCAATCAATCTTTTTATAATTCATAACTATTTATAACTAAAAATGGTATATATTGATACCAATTTCATACAATTATGAATTTCTTATTATAACAACATAGACATTGCTACTTTATTATTATTATAACAAGGACATTAGAAAAATTTAAATAAATAATTTTAGAAAAATAATTTTATATAAATAAAAATTTAAATAAATAATTTTAAAAAATAAAAATTAAAATTTAAAAAAAATAATTTTATATAAAAAAATGGCTGATTTGTTTTGTTGATTGCCAAGATTTCCTATATTCCTATAATCATTATTATCATGTGATTTATCAATCTTATTTCAGTATTATTTTGATTCCTATTCAAAATAATTTTATTGTTGTATAATTGATTTAAAGGTTGTAATTGTTATAATTTATTATTGTTGTTTTGTGTTTTTTTTTTTAATTTGATTGTTTGCCGTTCGCTTTGTTCGGATCTTTTCATCTTCACTTAAGAAAGAAAGGAAAAAAATGTTGGAAATATTCGAAAATTTTGACCATAAAAGAAAGTTAGACAATCAAGCCACATATTTACACACATTTTCAAGAAAAGCAACTTCATTTGTTAATAAACGTCATCAAGCAGTTAACTACTAACTATATCAATTTAAAATATTATGAATATATAAATATATATATATGGATGGATTTATATGAATTTTCATGATTTTCGTGTCATAATGTTATCATAATGTTATCAACAGTTTTTTTAATATATCTTTATATATTCTTTATACATTCTTAATATATTCTTAAATATCTTTAATCTCTTTTTACATTTACAAATGCTTTCTCTTTAACTCTAAACTTTATTTTATCCTCATCATAGTTATCGCAATTTTTCGGGAGTTTCCATTATTATTATTATTATTATTATTATTACTATTATTATTATTATTATTATTATATATATACATTTATATATTTTTTTTTTGCAGGTTATTTCTAAATTTTAACCAAACCATAAATTATTCCTCCGAGATTACGTATCGATAAGCTTTATTTTGACAAGGAAATATTCTAGAAAATATAGATATCATACACGTGTACATCATATGCTTTGCGTACTTTACCACTTTACCCCAACGGGATTATTATAATATACATCCTTTTTTTTTTTTTTACAAAATCAATATGAAAATTAATAAAATTAAAAAGTTTTATTAAAGTCTTGATATTAGACGAGTTTTAAATATTTTGAATATCCGTCTCGAGATTCCTCTGTGAAACGAAATTTCGAAACGAATAATTTCTAGAATTACTGGTTATTACTTCGCTTATCTATCCGAAGTTGTACAAGTTACAAAAGTCCAAATTACAATAAATCATTGAATATTTTTTTAAATTCATTATTATATATAAATTTTTAATACTGACAATAAATGATAGATAATAATAATAACAAATACAACATTTGACCCGTTGACGGGTTAATTTTTTCGAGTTTTTTTTTTTTTTGCTTTCTCTATATTCCTCTATATATCGTACCTTTACCGATACTGTACTTTAATAATTACTTTAAATATAGTAATACTTTTGCATAATCAATCATAATACTTTAATTAAAAAAAATAATCCCTTTAAAATAAAATAATAAAATAATTACTTTAAATACTTTTGCATATAATTTATTTTTGGAAAATGGAAATTGCCATCACTCACTATGAGGCTTTGAAAAGTTTCCTTGCTACACATCTTGCCAGGGGTAGGTCACAAACTTAGATTCGTGGAAAAAAATAAAATAAAATAATACCTTCTCTGGAAGAAAGGATCTTTCTTTGTTTTAAAGAAATTAAAAAAACCTATAAAAAAACCTGTAACAAAAAAACCAATAACAAAACCTATAACAAAAATAAACCTATATAATAAAAAAAAATTAGTTGATGCATAAAATAAAAGTCAAAGAATTTAAGTATAAAAAAATTAATAGAATTTTTGAAACTAATAAATTTATTATTTATTTTATGTAGAGCAAACGAATGGTTCAAGAACTAATGCCAGAGAAAAATTGACTAAACTTTCAAAACAACAATTTCAAGAACTTTCTACAGATGTATATGATGAGTTGACTCGACGTTTATTGGATTCTAATGAGGGTAATTGACTTGGCTTAATTCATAATAATTCATAATTTCATCTGATCTCGAATAAAAATAATAAAAATGACTTATGCCCATCCAATTTTGATAAAATCAGTACCATTTCTTCCAGTTCGTGATGAATTTCATCCTAAAAGAAATCAAGCAAGACAAAAGTTAGCAACATTACCAAAAAATCGATTCAAAGACTTGGCAAGTGATGTTTATTATGAATTGGAACGACGTTATCCTGAATTATTAGATATTGATGTAAGAATAATTTTAATCTTTTTGGTTTGATTTGTAAATAAATTTTATAATCTTTTTAATTTGACTTTTAAATATAATTTAAATAATTAAATAATTAAATAATTTCTTCTTTAATAAAGTTTTCGTCAACACAACAACAACAACAACAACAACAACAACAACAACAATATCAACAACAACAACAACAACATCAACAGCAACAACAATATCAACAGCATCAACAGCATCAACAACAACAACAATATACAACTTCACAAAGTACTCCTACTTATAATAATAATGCTACACCCAATAATAATACTTCACAGAGAAAAATAATTGAAGGAACAACATCGGGATATACACCGAAATCCAATACGATCGTTCCAGAAATGAGTACATTAAGACAAGAAACCATTTCAATAGATTATTTAATTCAAAAACCAAATAATAGACCACCAGATTCTTCTGCTGTTAATAATAATAATAATAATAATAATAATGTATATTCACAACCACCATTACCAGATGGAAAACCGCCAGAATATGGAACACCCAAATCACCGAGAAGTCGTACACAATCTACTACATCTTCTGTATCAGATTTTGGACGTCGTTATAATAATATGAGTATGAGTAGTGTAAGCAGTGGAGATAGTAGAAATAGAGATACTTCAACTAGTCATGTCAGTCAGAAAAGTGTTGGTAAACCTGATACCGTCAATTTTGCATCTCTTGATAGTTTAATGGCAGATCTAGGAGATATGATTGATAAAAGACAAAATGATAATTCACCTAGATCTCATACACCTTCAAATTCTGGTCAAATCACGGTAAATTAATTCTACATTAAATTATATTATTAAAGTATTTTTATTTTTATTTTTAATTTCCAATTTATTTTATTTTTATTTAATTTAAATTTATTTAATTAATTTTATTTAATTTAATTTAAATTTAATTTAATTTTATTTAATTTTATTTTATTTTATTTTATTTTGTTTTATTTTATTTATTTTATTTATTTTAAAGTTGAATGAAAGGTTAAGATCGGAATTCGAATCAAGGATAACAGCACTTCAGAAACGAATAAAAGAATTAGAATCAGAGTTATCGGTAATAAAAAAAAATAAATAATAATAATCACATAATCATTTATATGATTATTTTTTATAATAAACTTTTGAATTGATTAAATTGAATAACCAAATTAAATATTTTTAATATATTTTAAAAATCCAGAGTAAAGGGGGTAATTCAGTAGCAGATAATGTTAGAATACAAGAACTTGAAAGACAATTAAAAGAACAACGGGAAATAAACAAAGAACAAAGATCTAATTATGAAAAATTAAATGAAGATCATAAACAACAACAAGAGGTTAATATATTTAATATATTCATCATTCATTCTTGGTTATAAATTATTAATTAATTATAAATAAATTGTTATTTTGAAGGTCGCTAATGATGTACAAAAGGAAGCATCAACATTATTAGAAGAAATTAAATTACTTTCAATGCAAAATGATGATTTATATTCAGAAAAAGAACAAGATTCAGCTAAAATCAAAACTTTAACAGTAGAAGTGAATGAATGGAAAAGCAAATATGAAAAGGTAAAAATAGAATTAAGGAATTTGAAAGGTAAATAATCCAATAATAATTTTAATTAATTAATTAATTAATTATTAATAATAATAATTTAAATTAACAATAATTAATTGATAATAATAATAATCCAATTATTCTTTAAATAGCAACATCATCGTTCTTTAAAGAAACACCAAAAATAGATGTTATTAAAGATAATTCATTGGCACCAACACCTGATGGAGCAATTGATGAATCCAAGATCATTGCTTATCAAATATCAATTGATGATTTATTAAGAGCTGGAAGGTATGAGATTAATAAGATTATTAATAATACATAATTATTAAAATAATATTATTATTAATATAATATTTAATATAATAATTTTAATTTATTTATTACAGATCTGATGTCCCAGCCAATGTATTAATGGCTATGAAATCAATTGTTATTGCGTGTAAAAGTATAACAGAAGAAGTTGATCAATATGAACAACGTAAAATATCAATAATGAAGACAGAAGATAAAGACAAACTTTATTCATTAAAAACAAAATTATCAGCTACACTTACAAATCTTATGACAGCAGCTAAAAATCATGCAACTGGATATGGTATATCACCCGTTAGTTTATTGGATGCCGCAGCAAGTCATTTAACTGCTTCAGTAGTAGATTTAGTTAAACTTGTTAAACTTCGACGTTCAAATAGTGATTCAAACAATAGACTTGATATCCCTATTCCTTCTAATAAACCACTATCAGCATCATCATCATCATCATCAACAACCTTAGATTCATCATTTTTCACAACAAATAATACTTCATTAACGACACCAACTGCGATGGATAATAAAACATCTGAAAATCTTATCGATTCACCCAAATCAAATTCAATTATAGAGAATACTGATGGACGTAATGGTGTTAACATTGATGAATTGAAAGTAATTAATTTAATTTATTTATTTATTGTTAAATTTATTTATTATTAATTATTATTTATTTATTATTGATTTATTTATTATTAATTAACTCACAATATTCATAATGTAGGACTTTCTGGAACGTCAAACCGAATCAATTGTTCAAGCTATTCAAACACTTTTGGCAGCAATTAGAAATCAATCACATGGTAATGAACTTACGGATAATATTAATACAATTACTACAATAGTATTAAATGTTATCGCTGTATGTCAAGATTCATTTAATTCTCCAATTGGAACACCATATCGTACACGTGGAGATACAATATTAAAAGAATTAGGAAATAGTATTGATAAATTAGATGAAATGAGAGAAACAATATCAAATAATAGTGAAGACTTTCTATCTAATAAGATATCTAAACAACGATTAGCAAGTGCTTCCTTTGAAATTGCTAAATTTACAAAAGAATTAGTTGGATTAATTGAATAACATTTATTTATTTATTTATTCATTCATTCATTCATTTCATTCATTCATTCATTTACTCATTATTCATTCATTCACTCATTTATTTATTCGTTCTTTACTTAGCAAGAATTCATTTATTTTATTTCTTTATTCTTTCTTTCTTTCACCTTGGATTAAAAATGTTCAAATGTTTAGTCAATTTATTTATTTCTTACTTCTTACACAATAACTTTCAAGCATATATACTGACTATAATATATTTTAAGATTTTTATAATAATAGACTCATATATGTATATATACATATATATATATATTCTATAAATTATTTATAACTTGTCATTTTACTATAGTTTTTTTTTAAAAAAAAAAAAAGTTGTATTTCATTTTTTTTAAATATTTTAAATATTTAATTCATAGAAAAAATAAAATTTTATTTTCATTTTTATTTTTTGCAATATTTTCTTGTAAATGATTATCTATATATTATATTAATTGATGAACCACGAGTCAACTAACATAATAATTTCTATATAATAATTTTAAACCTATAATAATAATTTTTATATATGTGACGCGATAAGATTCAACCAATTAAAATTAGTTTTTCAAATATTATTAACTTTTAAAAATTAAAAAGAATACAATTTTTTAAAATTTTATTCTTTGATTTGTAACTTTAAATTTAATAATTTCAAAATACAGATTTTTTGAGCTTTCCAGCTTATACTTTTATTAATACAAATTTTGTGCCGCAGTAAAGTATATTTTTATATAATTAAAGTTCAATTATTTTTTACATAATTCCATACTTAATAAATATTAAATTAAATCAATAAATAATAAGTATTATTACTAAGTAAAGTTACTATTTCCTGTAGTGCCATTGACATCTCTATATATTTTTATATTGCAATTCTTGCATTTGTATATTTCTAATCATCTAATATTCTAAATATTTTGAATATCTCCATACCAACTGAACTCAATTGTCATTAAAACTTATAACAAGAACAACAAAATATCTTTCTAACTGTTTTCTTGTTATCTTTATATTTTTCTATTTACTATATCTAAAATCTCAAAAGGGAAAATAACAATTATGTCGAATTTATCAGTTAAGAACTTGATTATTTTGATAAATTTTATTCTGCAATATTCTGATCTTTTATTATATACAAAAGATGGTTTCATCAATATGCAATGCTTCTTCTTTCTTTATTTCAACATTGAAGAAGACAGTATTACTACCTGGAAGAATGAGCTTTACTAATTTATAGTGGTTTAGCTTGGTAGTGAACTTGTGTTAATTAAATTATATAAGTAATTACAAATACTTGAAAAATAAATACAAACTAAAAAAATTCAATTAAACAAGAATAATGTTAATTAATTTAAATAATTAATCAACTAATAATTAATAATTATAAATTATTAATAAATAAAATAGCTAAATCAATAATTAAAATACTAATTCAAATCAAAAATAAAATAACTATAAAACTAAAAACAATTAAAAATCAATAAATCAAAATAAAAGAATAAAAAGTGAGTTTGGAATCCAAATTTTGAATATACAGTATTCTGTTGATTATTTTAGCAACATTTTAAAACAACATTAGAAAATTTTATTAGGAGAAAATTTGCACAAAATTTCAATATCTGCACAAACTTTTATCTATATTTTTTCTTTTTTTTTAACTTCACTTGTAATTTATAAGACACAAAGTGATTTTTGCTAAGATATTTCTAAGATAAAAAGAAAGGTCTTGTTCTTGACTACAGAATGATATATGTTTCATTCCAGTAGCATCAATATTCATGGAGTTTAAATTTGAACATCTGTGAAAAATCATGAGAAAATTTGTAAAATTTGTATAATTTTTTGGTTCAAAAATTTTTGCATGATTTTTTTATTAGACAGTTACTTTAAACACAAATAACTTCACAAATATTGATACTACTATAATGAAACATATATTATTCTATAGTCAAAAACCAGGTCTTTTTTTTTATCTTAGAAATATCTTAATAGAAAATTGTTTTGTATTTCACAAATTACAAGTGAAGTCAAAAAAAAGAAAAAATATAAATAAAAATTTGTAAAAATTTATGCAGGTGTTAAAAATTTGTATAAATTTTTATTTAATAAACTTTTCTAATAAAAAGTATAAAATAACTGTGATTTTTATTAAAAATAAAAAAAATAAAAATTGTATAAACTTTACAAACTAACTTGAACAAAATAATCTCTCTTATTTTTATATATGTTTCTTTTAGGATGTTTAAAGCCTACCTTAAGGTTTAATATAAGAGCTGAGTTTTCTTAGTATAAAATTTTACAGAGTAAAAGCTTACACTTTATACAAATAAATAAAGTAAATGAAATTATTAGTATTAACAATAATTCTTAACTTCACAACAACTGAAAATAGAAGTAAAACAATTTCAAGAAAAAAATATCTTCCTTAAAATAATAATATAGATCAATGTAAATTAATATATATATATATATAATAATATAATATTAAATAAGTAAAATAAAATAAATGTACTATATTTGAAATACAACAAAAATTAAAAGAGGGTCATAAAATATTTATATGAACCAATTTGTTGTACATTACTAATTAAATTTTGATAATTTCTATGAATTTAAGTGTAATTATCTAATTAAATGTGATTAAACACATAATTGATATATGATATTAACATATATAAACCAATAGCTAAAATTTTTTACACTGAAATCATAACTTTAAAATTTATTTGGAATTGGTTTAAAATTGATTTTTGTGAAATCAATATATTTATTATTTTATTTTATTTAAATTAATAAATACTAATTTATTTTGAATATAAAAAATAAAAAATATTCTAATTAATACAAGATAACTATAGAAAAAATTAATATATTGAAAATCAAGATAAAAAAAAATAATGATATTAAAAGTTAAAATATAACAAATCAAAATGTAGAAATTAAAATTTAGAAAATATTTGTTAAAAAAAATACTATAACTAATATAACTATATATATTCATCAAAATTAATTTAATTAAGACATTACGACAGATGTAATATAACATAATAATTTTGACAACTATAATATAATTATTTTAATTAATAATTATTTTAACAAATATAATTAATTATAACTGATGTAATTAATTATAACTGATATAATTAATTATAACTGATGTAATTAATTATAACTGATATAATTAATTATTAATTATAACTATATTTCATAGTAAAATAATTATATCAATTATGTTAATTAATAAAACAATTAAGTTGAATTATGTTTACAAATTATTTCACTATTTAAATAATCAAAAATTGATAAATTTTTTAACAATTTGAGTTAAAAAATTATTTAAAATCAACTTTCTAATCTTCAAATTACCTGAAAATTAGTTGTCTGATTTGCAAATCATCTATCTAATTTTTGATGATTTTTTGATGATTTTTGATAATAAAAAAAAAATATAATTGTTTTTACTGTTTTTACAATATGGAACCTCTATAATAGAAACTTAGTTATAGTAAAAATGACTACTTTTTTTATATAAAAACTTTTTTTTCTAAATATAAAAATAAAAATCTAAACTATTAAATCGATAGTTCAGAATATACTTGTATACAAAATTATTTTAGAATCCAAAATTCAAAATATAAATACCTCAAAATTGATCCCAAAATACGTTTCAAAATTTTAATATTTCAAAATTAAAATAGAAGTCAAAATTAAAATAAAAATTGAAATTAAAATAAAAGTCAAAATTAAAAATGGGTGTTGAAATTAAAAATAAAAGTTGAAATTAAAATGGGTATCGAAATTAAAAATAAAAGTCAAAATTAAAATAAAAGTCAAAATTAAAATAAAAGTCAAAATTAAAATTAAAATTAAAATTATTAGTAAAAATTTTTATTAAAA